AAAAAAAAAAGCTCTTACATGGTAATATTAAGAATAAACACTCATTAATTTAAATAATTAAAACTATTAATTATAATTAAACTTGTACTAAACCAACATAATCTTTTTGATTGCACAAAATCACAATGAAAGCTAACAACAAAACCCAAAACCAAGATTTAATAAATTTCTCTCTTTTTCTACATCGATGATTAACCTGCAACAAAACCAAATCAAAACCTTGAAAATTCATACTTCTTCAATCTAGTTTAATGACCACATACTCACAAGAGAAATAGCCAAACCAAAACATATAAACAAAATTTTGCAGCATTCATAATATTAAATTGCTATCCCACAACCATAATATTCGAAACAAAAATCCATCAAACAAAAAAAAAAAATCTATAAACATGGTTTTGAAAATTCAGAAATTTGGGTTCCTTGAACCCATGTTACTGGGTTCCATGGAACCCAGAACTGGATTCAAACGAACCCAGATCTCTGGGTTCTGCAAAACCTGAATCTGGGTTCAAACGAACCCAGTTTTTTAGGTTCGAACAAACCCAGATAACTAGGTTCCATGGAACCAGGATCTGGGTTCAAATGAACCCAAATTGCTGGATTTTGCGGAACCTAGAACTGGGTTCAAACAAACCCAGATTGTTGGGTTCCACATAACCCTGATCTAGGTTCAAACGAACCCAGGTCGCTTGGTTCTATGGAACCCAGAACTAGGTGGCTATGGTGGATGGAAGGTAGTGGTTGCTGATGGATGTGGTTGTTTGGAAATCAAGCGGTGGGTTAGGGCTGCTTAGGTTGGCCTGAAGTCAATGGGAAGTAGGCAATGAGTTCCATGGACAAGCACTGTAGAATTGTTTCCAAAAATCCTAGATTTGTTAGGCAATAATTTGCAAATCTTGAAGTTTTTTAATGGAAATTTAAAGCATGATAAGATTCGATTCAGTATCAAATTTATTATTTCTGATTATTATTTTCTTTTATGTTAAGATGTTAATTATTCTACATCACATTAGGGATGCTAATGGTGTGTGATTAGGATTTACCTAATGTCTATTTTAAAACAACCCACCCCAACTCCCACCACCCCCTTCCCAACGGCCAAACCCCCATAATTTTTTATGGTGAAATAAATTGATTTTTTACGTAAAACTTTGTAAAAAGGTAATGATACGGAAAATAATTTTTTTTATAATTTATATATATAATTTTTATATATTATTAAATAAATTGATGTATATAATATTATAAGTTTTAATAAAAAAAATTAATTATTATATGATATGTAAAGTTATATTAAAAAAATTATATAAAAAATTAT